TATATATATATATATATACACATACACGTAATTTTCCCATTATGGGATATTCAAAAGAAATAGCTTTGGAAGGGGAAGGTGATACAATATTGCAGTATAATACATTTACTTTTAACATATTCATGACCTTGAATCTTCCCCAACATCACTTCCATGTAGTCACCATATCCTACTCATCAAAGGAAATAAAGGTTTTCCATCACTGCAAAATATTTCACTATTTCATTATTGCACTGATATAGCTAAACTAACTTTATTCATCTCATAAATATGTTTAAGATTAGATACAAAGCTGTCCTTCTTTTAATAGTATGTCTTTGTATTACCAGTCTACATTACTATACTCAGTAGTTCTATGTATCAAATTTATCTCCCCTAATTCCTGGACAAACATTGTTTGATACAATGTTCATTTGTCTACAACTAAGCTAGAGTTAAGGAAGTCAACAAAATGTTAACACATGCAAACATTCAATTGAGAAAAACTGGTCTGCTCTAGTACACTACGTTATTAATATAAACCTAAATTATTATCACTTTTTTTTCACCAGATTGTAAAGCTAAGTGTAGATATGTTGCTTGGCATGCATTTGTCCAAAGATGGATTTAAAACAAAATTAAGTAGAAAACAATAATGCTGTATATACAAATATTAAAAAAACAAGTTTTCAATATGATGTATGTCACACATTTTGATATGTGAATAAGGATTACAAATATAACAACCTGGTTTTAGCTAGTACAGAATACTAGCTAACTAATCGGAAACCCTATCAGGGTCGCTATGAGTTGGAATGGCCTTGAAGGTAATTAACAAGAACAACAATTATGCAGAGATAAATGTTTGTTTGTTTTTTTCCTTTCTTCAAAAGAAATAGGCTTAAGTATTTCAACTCACATAAATATTTGCATATATGCATTAGCAGTAGTACATATTATAGTTGGTAAGTGCCACAGAGTCAGTTCCAACTCATAGAGACACTGTATTTCCGAGGAGTGGCTGGTAGGTTTGAACCACCAACATTGTGGTTAGCAGTCCAGTGTTTATTCTACAGTACTACATCAGGTCTTTAGTGTACATTATAGGGTCTTTGAAATAAATAGACCATGATTCTAAGGCAGTTTTTATAATAGCGAATCAATACAGCATATGATTGAAAATGTGTGCATTCATATCAAACTTATTCTATGAAACTGAAAACTGATACCAAATATTAATTTTTCATATCAAAGCTTAAGTCACTTAAAAATACAGAAAGTATTTTAGAACAATAGCTGCATATGTTTTACTAAGCTATCAAGATGCATCTCAGAACGAATGTGTCAGGTGATAAAGACAGCCTACAGTTACAAGACTGTTCTGACCAAGAAATAAACAGACCCAACAGCGTGGAAAATCAAGTTACTTGAAATTTGCTATTCTACACTAAGGTATTATAAAATTTTCACAATCTTCATCATTTCCACCTGTGCTCTGCTTTTCACAGTACTCTCAAATGTAGTTTATGCAAGAGGGCTTTAAAGAGTTTTGGGAAAAATTCCATTAGCTTTCCATTCCATTTTCCACGAACTTTTGGAAATCCCCTTCATATTTAAACAGACGCATTGCTTTTGATAGTGATTTTCTCTCTTTGCAAGTATAGAGCACACCAAAACAGTCACATGCTCTAATTCAGCTCCTAAATATTTTTTTTGCTGTTAATAAAACGTAGAAAAAAAAACAAATGTTTTTACAGAAGACTACCAAAACAGACTTGACTGTGTCATTAACAAAAGAGGAATGACTTGACATAGTAACTTCTTAAAATATAGCAACAACACTCATTTTCAAGTCCCAGTTTAGTCGCTATCATCTATTCTTTCTGACTAAACAGCCATTTATTTATTCCTTCTTGATCCTAGACTATCACACCCATCTCTTGATCACAAGTTGAAGTTAATTGTCACTTTTCAAATATCTATGCCATTGTACAGTTTTCAATCTACTTTAGACACAGAAGTTTCAAAACAACTTTGACTTGCAAACAGAATCACTGTACTTTAAACAGAATGATGTTTTGTATCCTGTAAGTCTGGAAGGTTAAAAACAGACACAAGAAGCAAGCAAGGATCATCTCTGTAGACAATAAATTGTGAGTTTATTAACTAACTCTTTAGGTAGATTAGGCAACACTTGTTTTCAAACTAACAAGCAATCAAACAGTCTGTATTTTTTTAATGACTCACACTACCACCATGTTACCAATAGACATGTAAAGGGAGTGGGGGGAGGAGAGTTATGCATTCCAAACTGTGCTTGCCTAAGATCTACATTTAGTCACTTTACATTTTTAGGAGATGTCCCTCTCTGAGATCCAATCAAGATACTTTTACAATAGGGAATTTAGATTTAATTACCAAACTTTAATACCATGTTAAATAGGTCAGGCAAGTATGTGTACCTTTCTCCTGAAACAAAGAAATAACAGAGCAACAGGATTTCAGATTTCATAGTAGAAAAAGCAAGATATGTTTTGAGAATGTCATTTACTGTAATGCAAATCAATATTAAATGCTTTATGCAGGAAGCACACTTTCAGAAAATGGGTCCTAAAGCTTTCTGGGATCCGACCCTAATTACTAGAGCAGGCTCTTGCCGTTTCTCTCTCTCTTCAATTATTTATGGGGGAAAAAAGTCAAGTGGCATTGCATTAGCTATATTAAATGTTACATATGTACTTGGTTTCTAACTTATTAATGATACATAAAAATCACTAAGGTAAATGTGCCTGTAGAAAGGTGTCTTTTTTTTTCCTATCCTTTTTTCCATCTGAGTGTATGTACGTATCATTCATATAGATAAGTGTTGAATAGACACCGAATGTTACATACTTAAAGATCTACATTAAACATACATGACAGCTAAAAGGTAGTGCATTGATTATGTTACAAAATTTCTTTTAGCAACTAATAATTGCAATGTAGCTCACAAAAAAATAGTATCTCTAAATTTCCTAAAATCAAATGTATGAGAACCACACAAGTATGAATAATAAGTATCCATCCTGCTACCATCTTGCAGATTTCTGGTCACCCACATTAAAATGGAAATGGGAGCAATGTGAAAAATAAGAGCCTACAAGCTAGAAACTGTCTGGCCTAGATGCTGAGAAGTGTCCTTTTCAACGAGTAATACAGAACCATCTTGTAGGTACATGACAACATGGACCACACACATAATAAGAAAAGGCAGCTTATCAAGGTTGAATCAGAGATTCTTTGTACCAGGCCAAAAGTGTCTTCTGCCAGCAAGGAGACCATGATTATAACTTCCCTTAGAAACTTCAAACACTCAATCTATACGTGATTCTTTTGTGATCTAGAAGGATCAGGAAACCAGATTTGAGGAAGGTGCCAACTGCTGCTGAAGGCTGCTGGGGCCTCTATCTATCACTCTCTCACATTGTGGAAGAAATTTTCAAAGCAATGAAACCTTTATTTAAGGAACGTGTGTGTGTGTGTGTGTGTGTGTGTGTGTGTGTGTGTGTGTCACATTTTTACTGTAAAAATAGGATGGCCCAGAGTCCCTAGAAAGTAGCATTTTGTAAAGCTACGTGCCATCAGCTATACTGCCCAAACGTGTGCCCAGGCCACTTTTTTGATAAAGAACCACTGGAACTCCATAAACTGCAAAAATTTGAGATAGTTGGGTTTGGCGGGTTTTGTTTTAACTAAATATAAAGTCACTTCTTCCTCTGCACTGAAATCTGTCCAGTGTCCTTCCTCATCAAAGAGCTCCAGAGGTGACATCAATGAATACAAAGCGAACTTTGGCCACTTTTCTGCCCAAAACACCAGCGTAAAAGTAGAAATCAGTAACCAGGTGAAGTGCCACACCGCACAAAGATCAGAGGCGAGAGGCGGGCGCACAGGGCCAGAGGCGGGGAGGAAAATGTCCCGTCCCCACCCCCTCTCCAAGCCCCAGTCATCGCGCGCGCGGGAGGCTGAGGGGCGTCCCTGCGGGGGGGGGGGCAGATTCTGCACTGCTCTAAGGGAAGCGAAGAGTTACTGTTTGCAGGAGGCCCTGGATAAGGGGTCGAAACACCGCGCCTCTAGCAGGTCCTGCAGCGGGCCCCAAGCGTTCGCAGCCGACCAGCCAAGGCTCAGCGAAAGGCACAACTCTGCTTCGCGACCCTCCCCGCCGCCTGGGCCAGAAAGGGGCTGGCGGCTCTTTCCTGTCTAGTCTCTTCCCCTGCGGCTTTCTGTAACCCGATCCCCGCACTCGGCTCCCCTGAAAGCCACCGCACCGCGCGCAGCCGGGCTCAACCCAGGCCAGAGCTATAGTTAGTAATCGTCCACCAACTCCGCCGGGGGCAGCCGGGGCGCAGCGCGCTGGGCGCCGGGCAGCGGCTCAGGGGCTCGCCGAGCGACCCTCCAGGGCTCGACCCCGCGCGCGCCCCCGGCGCTCTTCTCCTCCGGTACCCCCACCCCAACGCCCTTTTACCTTGGCTTGAAGATACTGGGGGTAGTAGTAGGTGGCGTACTGAGGGTACATCTGCTGTTTCCACACTTTGCCCATGAAGCTGGAAGGGAGCCTGCCTTGCAGGGTCGCGGACACTTTGGGGTTTCCAAGTCTCGATCTCTCCTGCCTCTCCCTTTCCGGCGCCGGCGGCGGCGGCGGCGGCTGCTGCTGCTGCCGCTGCTCCACCTCCCCACCCAGACCAGATGTCCTCCTCCTCCTTCTTCTTCTCCTCCCAGGCAGAGAAAGACACTGCAGAGCGCAGAGGGCACCCCGGACAGGGCGCTCCCAAGGAGTTTCCTCCCGGAGCCCGAGTGCTCCGGGCTGCCAACGGTTGGCGCGCTGGTCGCGCTCCGCTCCGGCGAGCAGGCTGAGCGGGGCTGGGAGGTGATCAACACAAGTGGAAAGTGCTGCTGCTACTGCGGCGGCGGCGGCGGCGGCGGTAGCTTTCGGTGCCAGGCGGCATCTGGGGTGGGTGCGCCCGAAGGGAAGAGGGGAGAGGGGCTGGCGAGCCGAGGCCGTGGGGGAAGGGCGGGGGCGGGGCTTAGGCGCCGCGGAGCCCGGGACCGGCTGGAGGTGAGGGCTGAGTTTTAACCACTCCTCACCTCCCGAGCTCGCAGTTGGACGCGCGGAAGCCCAAGTAGCCCTGATCGCTTTGTGTACGGGGTGAGGTGGGGTGGGAGGAGTGAATTCTGGGGTACCCAGCTTAAGAACTGCAGAGGGGACACCTTTCATGAGTTTTTAATCTTCGTAAAGGGGGAGGGGATGCAAGGGCAATGAGAGGGGGGAAAATCCGATTAATCTTTCACTTTCCCCCGCCCAAGGACTATCCACACACATATACAAGAAAGGAATATGATTTAGTGTCCAAGCACAAAGCTGGAGTGAGGACACCTGGGTTCTGTGCTTATTCCCCCACCCCCCACCCCCCAGGCCGCAACACTGATTTTTCTAGGTGACCTTGGGAGGGTTAGTGTCCTTCGGTTTGGTTTCCCAGATGTAAGAGGTGAAATCATACTCCCTACACAAGGGGACGCAAAGCTCGCGCGTGTTCTCTCTCTCTCTGACACACACACACACCCCTCACACAAATAGACGGATATTTCTAAAGGAGAAATGCCGCAAAGAGGCAGAATGTTATTATTAGAGGACACAATATAGACATCAGCTTTTCTCTGCTTCTTACTAATGCTGCCAGACAGTCTGTCAACTCCCACTCAGGAGAAGGAAACTCCCTGAGTTTGGAATATTTTAAGGCCATTTTGAAAGTCACACTGGCATATTGTTGCAGTGTGCTTCAGTGACATATAAAATCAATCCCTCTCTTTTGCCTCTCTCCATCTCCTAATTGTCACAGTCCTAGACATCCCCAGACAAGCAGTGTTTCACTTCGCTACCTAGCCGGTTATCATTTAATGGAATTAATTGGTCCCTGAAGCTGCCTAAAGAAGACTTTTATATTCTAGCTCAAAAAAAGAGATATTACCAAAATGTACCAAGAAGACATGGAAGAAAGCACCCCCAAATTGTGATTCTTGCAAATTTAGTAAGATTTAATGAAACATTTATTATTAAATAGATCTTGATTACTTTGTCATTTGGGTTTTCAAACAATTTTTTAACAGCACAAGGTAAAACAAACTGAAATAGAATGCATGATTTCATTAAGCAGTTACATTTTTAAATGAGTATGTATTAAAACAGATGTAGTAAGATACTTTAGAACAGTGTAACAATGAACGGAAACCTGTATAATCTTTATGTGATTTAAACAAATGTCTTTGTTATTCAGGGTTGACAAAATAAAATTTAAATTCATATGGCGATATTTTGGATGTTTCAGGAGGCAAATTATGTTCTCTAAAAACATAAAATATGAAACCCTGTAAAACATAAAACATGAAACCCTGTAAGCTAAGTAGTGTTTACTGAGCTTCTGCTATACCATAGACACTGTTGCAGTTAATGCGAACTTAAAAATTGGAGTGGTTCACTGTCTAATTAGGATACTCTTAAAAACTTCACCATATTGTTGCAGTGTGGGACCCATTTTGAACAGAGAGCTGACATGAGCTAATAGGTATTTGAGAAACCTAGAGATCCAGGAAGGAAGAGTGACTGAAGCATGAAATGTAAATTGAGAGCCAGCTAAGAAGTTCTAGATTTGAAGTGATAAGGGAATGACCAATCTTATTGACTTTTCTGGATGATAAAAATTCAGCCTGCTTTAGTGAGCCCAGAAACAGAACCACACAAATGTAAGCACTGATTTATGACTGAATTGGTATTGCAGAACAATGGAGAAAGAATGAGCAGTTCAATAGCAGATTGTGGGTCAATTGGCTGACCACGTGGGGGAGGGAGCGACTAGATCCCTGTCTCACATCATACCAAAAGAGGGGAAGAAAAAAAAAATCAGGTGAATTAAAAACCTAAATGTGAAAAAAACACTAAAACTTTTAGATGTTGGAAGGGAATATCTTATCACCTTGAGGTAGAGAAATACTTTTTAATGAGATGATTTAAAAGTTCAAGATTGATGAATTTGACTATATTAAAATTAAGAATGATGCTTCATTAAAGAGCTCTATAAAGATTGTGGAAAAATAAAGTACTTACTTGTAATGCATGTTGTTGTTGTGGTGGTGAAGTGCCATCAAGTCGATTCTGACCCATAGCAAACCTGTATAGAGTTTCCGAGGAGCAGCTGGTGAGTTTGAACTGCCAACCTTGCAGTTCAAATGGCTTTGCAGTCTGGCACATTAACCCACAGAGCCACACCAGGACTATACCTACTAAAATATTAATATCCAGAATATATAAAGAACACATTGGAATTAGTAAGAAAAAGAGAAACAACTTGTAAAAAAAAAAAAAAAATGAGCGTAAGTAATGAATGGTTATTTCATAGAGAAGGAAGCACACGTGTTCTGAAAACATGAAGATGCTCCCACTCATTAATAATAGGAAACATGTCATTAAAATAATAAGATGCCACTTCATACTCACCAGTTGAAATTAAAAACTCTGGAAATTCAGAGTAGATGAGGATGTATAAAAGTGAATCTTGAAAACATGACTTACTGGATAAAGTATAAATTGGTACAACTTTGAGTAAGTTTGGTATTATCCAATTACATTTGCCAGTCTTACATACCTTAGAGAAGTGTCTATATATCCACCAGAAATGTTTATAGCAGCATTACTAATCAGGTACTGTAAAGACGTCAAATGTCTACCAACTACTAAAATGAAAAATAAGTTGTCATATATGCATATAATGGAATACTTTGCAGCAGTGAAAATGAGGAAACTAGTTAAAAACATGGATATTTTCAAAACGGATGTTGAACAAAAGAAGCAAGTCAAAATAATATATAAAGCATGATTCAATTCGTAGGAAGTTCAAAAACAGAAAAAAAGAATGAAGCAGTATGTGCTATAAGAAAAGGTACATGAGTAATAAATCTATAAAGAAGAAAACAAATCCCAAAACATGACTGTTGAGTCCTTTCCAACTCATAATACAGCAATCCTGTAGAACAGAGTAGATCTACTTTACAGGGTTTCTGAGACTGAATCTTTACAGAAACAGACTGCCTCATCTTTCTTTCTAGGAATGTTGGTAGGTTTGATTCACCAGTCTTCAGGTTAGTAGCCCAATGCTTAACCCACTGTGCCACCAGAACTCTTTAAAAATAAAAATCAAGAACAGCAACATACTACTCAGAATAGTGGTTATTTCTGAAGGAGAAGAAAGATGAGATGAGCTGGCAGAGACACCAGGGGATTTCTGGAGATGATAATGTTTCATGTCTTGGCCTGGATTGTGGCTACACAGGAATATCCATGTATTTTAACACTTTTATTTAACTTGTTATTAGACTTTTGTATGTTTGCTATATTTCACAATGAAAACATTTAAAACACAGATCACTTTCTAAAACTTATTATGATAATTTGCAAACAAACACAAAAGCAGAGAATAAAACAGTGGCACGTCTTTTCCTACCACCCAGCTTCCACATTTATCAACATTTAGTCATACTTGCTTCTCTCCTTCTCTTACAAACACACACACACACATGCGCGCAAGTGCAGACATCTACACACAACACCACACACTTTTTATTACCCTATAGAGCTCTGGTAGCGTAGTGGTTACCAGTCGGGCTGTGAACCTCAAGTTCAGCAGTTCGAAACTGCCAGCTGTTCCATGGGAGAAAGATGAGGCGTTCTGCTCCCGTAAAGATATACTGCCTAGGAAACTCTGTACAGGGTCGCTATGAGTCGGAACCGACTCCACGGCACTTAACAACAATAATAGGATTTTAAAGCAAATCCCTAGCATCATAGCATTTTTTATTTGCATCATATCATTTGATCTGTAATGATTTCAGTGTGTATCTCTAAACAAGAACTTTTAAAATACATAACCAAAATACCATTAAAACACTTTTGTTTTAATTCGTTAAATTGTTATTATCAGCTAATATTTAATTCTTGTTCATTTTTCTCTGATTGTCTAAAAATATCAATTATGAAAACTACCCTATGTGAATCAGGATCAAAGTCTGCACGTAGAATTTGATTGATGTATCTATTAAACCTCTTTTAATATATAAAAATTCTCCCCACACATTTTTAAAGTTAGTATTTGTATGTTAAAGGAATTAAGTAGTTTGTCTTATAGAATTTTTTTTTAAAAAAGCTGTAAGTTCAAATTGCTGTTGAAATGTTAGTTCTAGATGCTTGATTAGATGAAAGTTCGCTTTTTTGGTAAAGAGTACTTTATACTGTTGTTGTTAAGTGCCATCAAGTCATTTCAGATGCCTAATAACCCTATGCATGAGAGAACAAAGCAGGTTGTCTGCATCGTCCTCACAATTGTTCTTATGTTTGAGCCCATTGCTGCTGCCACTGTGTCAATCCATATTGTTGAGAGTGTTCCTCTTTTTCACTGACCCACCACTTTATCAAGTATGATGTCCTTCTCCAAGGACAGGTCCTTCCTGACATGTCCAAAGTATGAGAGATAAAGTCTTACCATTCTTGCTTCTAAGGAGCATTCTGGCTTTGTTTATTCTTCTGGAATAAACTTTCTTTATTCTTCTGGAAGTCCATGGTACTTTCAATATTCTTCACTAAAACCATAGCTCAAATGCATCTATTTTCCTCTGTTCTTCATTACTCATTGTCG